GGTTGTAGACGGTAACACGTGCTGAAGATCAGTGTCTTCTTTTTGAAGCTGGGCGAGTTTAAGAAGGTCGATTCCTTGGAAACTGTTCAAGGAAGTTATGCGGGATAAGGCGTCTGCGACTACATTGTTTGCTCCAGAAATGTGTTGAATATCTGAAGTAAACTGCGAAATGTAGTCCAGTTGTCGAGACTCACGAGGTGAATGCCTGTCTGAAGAGGAGCTTAGCGAGAAAGTAAGAGGTTTATGGTCAGTGAAAAGGGTGAATTCACGGCCTTCAATGTAGTTTTGAAAATGTCGTACAGCACAATACATAGCTAGGAGTTGCCTACCGAATGTGCTGTATCTCGATTCGGTGTCTAGCAACCGTCTAGAGAAAAATGCCAAAGGTTGCCAGGAGTTGTTAACCCATTGTTGTTAGACTCCTCCGATTGCTGAGTCGGATGCGTCTACTGCAATACTAATTGGTGCTCGGGCGTCCTGATGTGCAAGCATTGTTGCTTTAGCGATGAGTTCCTCAATTGTGAGGAATGCTTTTCGTGCGGTGTCGTCCAAATTAATGGATTTCGCATTTCCACGAAGTTGGTCGGTAAGAGGTTTCATGAGTAACGCGCATTTCGGTATGAATCGTCTATAGAAACTTACAAGGCCGTTAAACGTTCGTAGCTGTTTGATCGTGGTCGGTTCTGGGTAACCTAGAATGACCACCGCTTTGGCTCTAAAGGGTGGGATTCCTTCAGCATCTATAGTATGTCCTAGAAAGTTAAATGAGTCGGTTCCGATTTGGCATTTCTGAATGTTCACAGTAATGCCATGTTTTTGAAGTCGATCGAAAACAAGATCCAGATGCTTGAGATGTGTTTCTCTGTCCGAACTTGCGATTAGGAAGTCGTCAATATACGCATGTACGAAGTTGAGACCTCGAAAAACGTCGTCTATGAATCTTTGGAATGTTTGAGCAGCGTTTCTTAGACCGAAAGGCATTCGCAAAAATTCATAGAGTCCGAAGGGAGTTATGATAGCTGTTTTCGGTATGTCGTCAGTAGCCATAGGGATTTGGTTATACGCTTTAACCAAGTCGATTTTCGAAAAGACAGTTGTACCTTTCAAGGCAGCTGTCAAATCGTGAATGTGAGGCAACGGGTAACGATCGGGAATGGTTTTTGCATTCAATCGCCGATAGTCACCAGTTGGACGCCAATCGTTGCTGTCCTTTTTAGGGACCATGTGCAACGGAGATGCATAAGGGCTATTTGACGGTTGTATGATTCCTAAGTCTATCATGTGGTCGAACTCGTTTTTCGCCAACCTTAGCTTTTCAGGAGCTAGTCGTCGTGCTTTAGAGAATACAGGTGGTCCTGTAGTCGTGATGTGATGTGTAACATTACTGGTTACACACGGTAGTTTCGGTTGAGTTTGTTGTATCCCCGGGTACTTATCGAGTAGTGGCTGATAAAGTGGGTCGATCATATGCTTAACTGTGACTGGGGATAATCTGGAACCAGAAAAGGAAGTTACGCAAACGGATAAATTAGTGTTCTCGTCTACTAGCCTCCGTTTGCGCGTATCGATGATTAGATTATGGTGTTGTAGAAGGTCTATACCAATGATTAGCATAGAAACATCTGCAACAAAGAAGATCCAGTGAGTGGGTTTGCGCAAACCCACGTTCAGGTAAACGTACCTTTTGCCATAGCGATAGGCTTTCCGTTTGCCGCCTGTGAGTTTAAAGCCGATTCGTGAAGCCGGTCGTTGGAATTCGCGGGGAAAACGCTAACTTCTGCGCCAGTTTCGACGAGGTAGCGAAGTCTCGCTATCACATCTGTGACGTATAACAGATGGCTATGTTCGCCGGCTACGGTTGCGTTAACGCGTGCCGGCTTGGGGGTTTCCCGAGTTGCTTTTCGAGTCAGTCGGTTTTGAGATGGGAAAATTGAAGGGTTTCCTGCAGTTTCTGGAAGACTTTCTATACTGGTTATGATACCAGCACCAGCCGGGGTTATCCGTCTCTCGTGGTCTAGAGACAGATCGCTTACGTGAAGTGCTTCTACGTGGGATGTGTGATCGCTTACGGTCGTTACGAAGATTAAGATAACGCGTGAGTGTATGACATAACTCTGTTATGTCATTCTGAGACGTTTGAGGCTTTTCTTTGACTGAACAAAACCTCGGTAGTAGAAGATTTCGTAATTTCTAAGATACGATCGGCAGATGCAGCCAGTTCGTTTTAGGCGTTGTTCTGAAACGAGACCAGAACCGCTTGCACCTGATGGGGAAGTTTAGACCAGAAAAGTCGTTTGAATAGGCCTTCGTCGAAAATTCTTAGGTCTATAACCTCTCTCATCCTTTGCAACATGTCTGTCGCAGAACTGTGTTGCAGTTCGATGTTATTAAAGAGTTGGTCTAACCTTTGTCGATCGGTTAGGTCTCCTCGCTTAAAGATAGAACGTTTCAGTGTTTCGTAAGTTTCAGAAACATCACTAGTAAACATACTAGGTGTTACGTACCTGTCGAATTCCCGCGATAGTGACTTGACTATTGCGAGGAATTGTGCACGTGTGTCGTTCACGCCGTGCTCGTGGAAGTCGGCTGCTGCGTAGCAGAACCAGGCTTTGATATTGTCGGGCCAGAAGGGCATGAGTTGGAACGAGGGTGGGGACATAGTCTTAATCTTAAATACCTTGTGGGTCTGTTCAGTCATAGGGGAAAATTAAGTACAAGAATACACGAGTGAAAAATATATAGATATCTAAAAACGCGGGGAAAAATATCACAATGTATAAAAATTAAGGTAAAGCAATAATATATAGAATCCCAAAATGGAACAGACTCACAGTTTACGATTTGGTGTACCAGATCACGTCGGGCTTACCAATGAAGACGGCACAGGTATTCAGTGTTTGACAACGCTTTTACCAGTAACACCTTCTAATATAATTCGTACCCACGAGGAGAAATCAAAAGACAGAATCGAGGAGATCAGAAATTGTATTTGACGATTGCCAATATATCGGAATTATCTGATCTAATCTGGCTAGCGATTGCAGTAGCAGTTGAGCTCGGCGTTCTCACACGTGATCTGGTGCGGATGCACGACCGAGCGCCTTCAGTTAGATGAGTCCACTAAAACTAATCTGGTCAGCATCCAATGTCGAAAACTTACAGAGCTATTTATTTTGGGGATTTATTTACAGCCACACCCCCATTTAGAATTCTCTTCCAACCTAAGTGACCGCAACCGCTTTAGTGTATAGCATGAAGAGGAGACTTGAAAAACAAGTGGAATAACATATTCCGTTTAGTCTTCCATATTGTCTGCATTACCAACTAAAAAACTTATTTGTTTGCTTTTCGAAACAGTGGTCTTCGCCTAGCATTCGAATTTCATCTTTATTGTTTTTCAAACTGTCAGCAACCGGCCTCCTGTCTGGTAATTTGATGGCTACTTGTACCCATAAATTCTGCTGTTTCGAGACAAACGCACCCATTCAGTCTACCATATATATAAACCCTCGAATAGCTACCGAAATGACTAGAATTAGAAGAGTCAAGTAGCTAGACAGCCGTCCATTTGACACTACCGAAGATTCTGAGTTATACTGAAACAATAAGGAATGAATTCAAAGGAATCGATCGGCTTATTCGAGCCTCCCACAAGGATATTGGATATTGAAAAGACCTTCTTACCATTTGAACCATTTAGGTTGTTTTAGGTGCCCAAGGCGTATGCGACCTGTAAAATGCCTTTTTACGCTGTTCGAGTCGGTCGTGGCATCGGCGTTTTCTCGAGTTGGTGAGTCCCATTAAGTTTTTAACTAAGAAGTAATTGGGTCTGAGTGCAAAGACCTTGTAAAGGGCTACTCTGGAGCTTGCTTTAAGAAATTTACTTCCTACGATGAAGCTATAAAGTTTATTGGTAGTTTCAGTTGCTCCCCGTTAAAAAAATTACTAGAAGGTGGACATGAGGTCGGAACCGTACTCTCGAAAAAGCGAAGGATTGGAAGCATGAATGACGACCTGGATGGTCGAGGTATGGCTTTTAATTGCTACACATTGAGACAGAAGATCGATTACCGAGCAAGCTATCTCCTGAAGAGCATTACATCAGTAGCAACCACGTTCCAAGCACTCTGACATTTTATCATGGTAATCTTTTATTAGTATTTAGGCCAACAGAGATTTAGATATCCAATGCATGCTAATATTTCAGCTTTTAATCTGTCACATCTATCCCCAAGACTACGTGTATTTTGTTAATGCTTCATCCATTCTTTCAAGATGGACTGATTCTCACATGGATCTTAATCCTTATGTATCTACCACTGGAGAATTGATTTCTAAACTCTTTATATATCTTGTGTATTTAAAAGCATAATAAGTGCTGATTTTAAGAACGTCAAAACTAGTTCCTCATATCTTGCAGTCCCAACCATTAGATATCAGTAGTATTAAATAGTGATACCTGTTAATGATTCCTGGTTGTTACTCTAATATCTGCGACTTGAAATTCCAGGCTGAGAAGAATGTTCGTGCGTCGATTTATCTAGACAACGAAAAGCCATGTATTTCAAGGATTTTATAAACTAACGGTTCAGTAGTAGTAACACTAAATAGTAAATGCCGAAATATACTTAAATGGTTAGTTGTTGTCCGGGCTTTGTAAAAAAAATGTACGAATTAAGTGAAGATAATATATCGTAAGCCTGTGTTAATCCTTCATGTGTACATAACTATGAAAGCCTAAGTCTTGAACTTACTAGTTAAGCCGATACTAATTGCCCAGATAGCGTTTTTCTGTTTTCGGGTGCTCTGTGGGGACAACGGGGCCGCGCTGCGTTCGTCGGATTGGTTTGGTGACGGCCTCAGCGATATATAGGTTCCGATTCACATTTGTATATTAAGGACAGATAGCCTACGGCCTATGTTATTCTTTTTCTAGTATGCTTCTATGAGTGTCTAGTCTCCTCTTGAATGGGTCGATTGAAGGTGCGGACACCACTGCTTCGCGTAACAGGTTCCAAGGATTGATGACTTGGCGTCAAAACCTGTATGCCACGGGTATTTTGTTCGTTCTTGACTTTTCTACTCGCCTGCTATGTCATCTTAGATGTCCCAATCTAGTGGGAAGAAAACGAAGATAAGAAAGAGTAAAGTGGTCTAACTTTTCAAGCCGTTCTTTGTATGGTAAACCCCGGAGTTCCGGAATCGCACGGGTAGTTACCCTCTGTACTTTTTCCGGGATATCCGAGTCACCTTTTAAACAGAGGCTTGGAGCCTGAACGCAGTTTTGAAGCTTAGTTTTCACTAGGGTTTTGTATACTGTAGTGAACATGGCAGTATCTAACTTGGTGAATGCCCATCTTAAAGCCCATAGGGTTCTAAACCCCTTAGCTGCAATCTCGCAGCAGTGGCCTGTGATCCTAAGATCATGACTCACTGTCACCCCAAGATCCTTGTGAGACCGAACCACCGGTACAGGCACTTCTCCTATGCTGTACCTATTTACCTTTGTATCCCGAAAGTGCATGTAGACATACTTTGTTGTGTTGATAGGCACCATCCACTCTTTAAACCAGGTAGTCACAAAATCTAAGTCTGCCTGAAGTGCGCATGCATCGGCGTCACCTGTTATTTCTCGCCAGATCTTTACATCATCAGCGTATAGTAACATTGGGGACACAACTATACTTGGGGCGTCATTTACATACAGTATGAATAGTAAAGGACCTAGGACAGAAACTTCCAGTATTCCACAAAGTACTGGTCTACAGTTGGAGCACTTGGGATTCACTCTTACTTTCTGTCTACGACCTACCAGGAAATCCTTAATCCATTATAGGAGGGGTCCGACAATGCAAAGGTTTTCCAGCTTCAAGAGCAGTCTATCTGTTGGTACCTTATAAAATGCTTTGCTGAAGTCTATATAGACAACATCCACTGATTTTCCATTGTCTAGAACCTTTATCGATTGCTCCCTTGCTATAAGGAAGTTTGTTGTGCAAGATAAACCTTTCCTGAAACCATGTTGTTCGCTGTTTAACAAGTTGTTGGTTTTCACGAATGTCATTATGGTCTTTTTGACTATTCTTCCCATTAACTACGACAGTGGTGAGGCTGACAGATCTTTAGTTCGATAGAAGTTGTCTTGGTCTTGTTTTATGTATTTGAGTGACGATTGCATCCTTCCAGTTCGTAGGTAACACACCTTGGCCAAGTGACATATTGAATATCACAGTTAGTGAGGCTGCAATATATTGTGCAATTTGTCTCAGGATTTTGGGTTGTAGTTCATCCGATCCTGTTGACTTTTCCATGTCTGAGGTACTAAGAACCTTAAGTACATCATTTCGATCAAAGCACACAGTGAACAGACAGTTTGTTGACTTTCTATTTGGGCCTAGTTCTTCGTCTAGAAGACTAGTAAATGTAGTAAGATGTTATAACACACTAGCGCCATTATAATGATATAAAATCTCAAACTAAATGTTAAATGGTCTTAAACTCAACCTCATCACCTGCTTTGATTTTGAGATTAATTGGTGTTATTAGCCCCAGGTAGTATGTGGATTGGGTTCAGTACTTAAATTTGCATGTGTTTTGTGGTTAGTACAATTTATACCAAATATTAAGGTTGGAATTCCTTCGTATCTTCCTGACGATGTACGTTCTTATATAGTAGATTGACCCTCTGTATTTACTACATTGTTCTCATTAAAGTAGACGTAGTGCAGTTCTGATCTTTGTGAGTCGGATTTTGTAGCTTCAGTTGGTAGAATATTAGTTTTAGTTCTGTTGTTCTCCTGTCAATAGTAAATCTTTCAGCGTGCAATAAATTAGGGCTGTAATGTTCATAACTAGACACAACAATATAGCTTCTTAAGTTGTTGGATCAAAAAATTGTAGTTATCTGCAGACATAAAATCAGTTAATAATTTGACATACTCAACCATGCTGGAGAATCGCGCAACATTCAAAACCGGAAATTGTTACGAAAACTTTCGGTTAATCATAGTTGGTTCTTATTGTTATTCAAACGAATGAACATCGATACAAAGAGGCACCAAAATATGTATGCGCTTCCAAAGTCATTGCATTTGTGTCTGGAGTGGGGTACTGCCCGGATGCCCAAATCGAAGCCAATGGTTTTTCTTCCGACTGTTGCTGCTACCTTGACGTGGTGGTTGGGCTTGCCTGTCGTAATGAACCAATCGAGCTATACTGGCTGGAATAATTGTTCCTCAAGCCCCTACCTTACCAGACAGGCCGGTTGAAGAACGACAAGACTGAAAGCAGCAAACCCAAGGTCCAAGGGCGAAGTTATACTGCTACCTGTACAGAGGCATGATGGTAGCATGATGTTTCCTTCAAACAGCCAGTATAACAGTGATGTTGCCTTCCCACAAGGAAGGGTAGGGTTGGAAAAGGTTGATCCTAAAAGCGCACACCTCACCTTACCCCATGGATTTTCATCTCCAGCGGTGAGGTCCCGACAAGTACGGAGCTAACACTAAAACTACTCGAATAGGTCGTGTGTAACCGGCCTCAAGCAGTTGTCCGTCGGGCACTGCGGTCACATTATTAGGCTACTAAGACCATCTCTAATCGAACTCGCTTTTCAGGTACCTCTAGAAGAACCGTTCCACAGTGTGGGCAACCGGGGAGTGATAACCACCTTCATACCTCTAACCGCACTCAAGATCACAGGTGGTTTTCTTAGAGGGTCACTACCCGAGCTTTTAACCTAGAAGTCTAATCCTCAAAGCGATGGAGCAGCGTTATGATATGTGGTCCTATGGTAGTCGGTGACCAACAATAGGTTCATGTGTCATCTCAAGTTTCGGCGTATGTGGAAATCTATCAGTATTATTTGACTCCATTGTTAACCTCAACGGTTTGATATTATATTAACTGCTACACCCCTGTCGTATTCCGTAATGTAGCCGTCAATTATGACTAGTAAAGTCAAACATGGTGCTATGGGCATCTAATCAACAATCCCTATCAATTAGTCTAGATATCATGAAACTATCAAGTAAGCAGCTTTGGGTAAACAAGACATTATGTAATAAGTTAGCTCCAGTCGATTAAGAGTGGTTATAAATACTTACTTAGGGGACGAACCGTGAAAAATATAATGGGTGTTGAATTAAAACAGCGCTATCATATAGTCATGCGCTGTTTAGTCGGTTGCAGAACTATTTTCCTTCATACTTCAAACATTCAATACGCTGTTATTCTATTCTTATTCCGCGATTTTGTGTACATTTTCTCTTATTGGCGGTTCCGTGTTACTGTTAGTATTGTTTTCAGTTACTGGGTTTTCTTATAGTTGATTTCGCATTCTCCATGTCTCCTTGCTTATCTGTACAGTCCGTCTTTCTGTTATGGTTATATCTTGGAAAAATATCTCTACTCAATTAACCTGACTTGATGCATCTAGAAAGCCAGCCAGTAATAGTCTGGTATAATCTTACCTAACTCACCATAATGTTATTATTTTCTTAAACATGGTACTTATTTATTTATTTATTTTAACACAGATATTGGTACAAGAAGGCACCAAATACATACGCGCCAAACAAATCTCATTTGATTTGTGTGAGGGCTGTGGTACTGTCCGGGTGCCCAAACCGAAGCAGGTGGTTTTCTTAGAGGGCCATACCCCGAGCCTTCGATCTAAAGGTCTGATCCACAAGGCAGTGGAGCATCGTAAGGAGATGCAGTCCCATGGTAGCCGGTAACCAACAAATGGTTCATACGCCATTTGTTCCTTCAGGATACTGGAGCTCATGTGCACCATTGGTTTGGAATCCGGTTAAAGCGCCGGACATTCGCTTTTCGTTCTCTCATTTTCGTAAACAACACCCCACCACGTGTAGTAAGCAAGTTAATGGGAATCTATATCAACTTACTGACATTGTTAAGTAATTAAACCTATTTGTCGTTTCACGATTGATATCCTTTTCCTCTCTGTCTCTTAACCAGATGCATCATGCCCGCGACGTGTGATGGTCTATACTGATGGTTCATGTAACGGTGCACATGATGATCGTCGTGCTGGTTATGGTGTTTACTGGGGGCCCAATCATCCATGGTAAGCATCGAATTGGCTCTTATCATTCCAAGGAATGTCTCTGAGCGGTTGGAAGGAGAGCAAACAAATAATAGAGCAGAAATTGAGGTAAACTTTTATTTTGATAATAATTGCTTCTAAATATCGACCACATTTATTTAAAAAGTTTTCTGTAACTAGCTTATTATTAATACTGGTATGTAATAAAAGATGTGACCTTGAGCTTCAGGCCGTCAAACGTCTTCTCATAGTAAAAGAAGTTGATGTATAGTGACGAATTCCATTCAATCGATTGTTGAACGACGATCCGTAGTGTCGCAACCTGGTCTGTGCACGATCAATTCTTACGGAACCCAGCCTGTTGATCTTGAAGTTGGACGTCTACTGTATCTTCCACTCGGTTCAACAACACTCTGTTGAAAACTTTTCCTGATACCGATAGTAGTGTGAAGCCTCTGTGTTTCTAACACTTGCTGAGATCCGCTTTCTTTGGTATCTCGATGAGATTTCCTTCTTTTCAGTCTGTCGTCACTTGTTCTTCCTCCCAAATCTTTATGAATAGAATGCGGAGCATGTTTGCAGTTACCTCTATGTCTGACTTCGATGCTTCAGGTGGTAGATTTTCAGAGCGTGCTGTTTCCCCACTCTTGATTTGTCTGATGGCCATGTTGATTTCCTCGACCGTTGTGGAATGACATCTATGGGAAGGTCTGTGTATTTTGCTTCGATGTCTGGTGAGTTCAGTGAGACTGATCTTCTCAAGAGTTCTTCAAAGTGTTCTACCCATCTGTTCCTCTGTTCCTGAATCTGAGTGATTGGCATGCCTTCTTTGTCCTTGACCGGTCTCTCTGCTTTACCATATTTCCCTGACAGTTTCTTCGTTGTATCATATGGTTGTCTCATATTTCCTTCTCTTGTAGCTTTTCCCCTCTGTCATTGCTAGGTCTTGCACATATTTCCGTTCGTCGGCTCTAATGCCCTTCTTCCTCGACCGAAGCTGCTACCTTGACGCCGTGGTCGGGCTTGCCTATCGTGATGACCCAACCGAGCTATATTGGCTGGAACATATGTTCCTATAGGTTCTACCATGCCAGGCAGGTCGATTGGTGAACGGTAAGACTAAAAGCAGCAACTCAAGGTCTGAGGGCGAAGTCGTACTGCTGACTGTAGAGAGGTGTGACAGCAGTAAGGTGTTTCCCTCGGACAACCAGCATGACAGCGATGCTGCCTTCCCACAAGGAGGGGTGGGGTTAGAAAAGGTCGACCCTAAAAATGTCACACCTCACCTTACCTCAGGGATTTCCGTCTCCGGCGGTAAGGCCCTTTGAAGAACGGAGCTAACACGTCAAAAAACCTTCCACAAAAGGCCGTTCGTGACCGGCCTCAAGCAGTTGTCCCTTGGGTTCTGCGGTCACGCTCCCAGGTCGTCAAGACCAACACTAATCCAATTTCCTTTTCAGGTTCCTCAAGAAATACCCTTCCACGGTGTGGGCAGCCGGGAAGTGACATCAGCCCTCATACCCGTAACAGCACACGAGACCAAGTTGGTCACATTCAAATCCTTCCTACACCTCCTAATACCTCTCTTATCTCCATGACTAACCCTCCTCACGTCTCTTTATCACCTCGAACCGCTAGGGCAAACGATTCGAGTACGTGGAACGCTATTCCTGGTCTCCTGAAACCACGCTCTAAACTACACTTAGGAGTTTTTAACGTACGAACACTTTGCCAAATAGGACAGTAGGCTTCCTTAGCTGGGACTTTAGAATCTCGCACCATCGATGTGTGCTGCGTCTCCGAAACGCGCATACAGGAACCAAGTAGCGTCATTCATTTGACCTCACCATGCCAAAATAAAGAACCGACTCGATTTACGCTTCGTGTATCTGGAAGCCCTGATTCTGCTTCCCGTGGCCTCGCCGGCGTAGGTATAGCATTGAGTCCTAGGGCAGAACTAGCTCTCTTAGAGTGGATCCCAGTAGACAGCCGTTTGTGCGCTGTCCGACTGAACGGAACAGTAAGAATCCGGAAAGATAGGGACACTCGTCGTTGCCTCTTCGTCGTTTCTGCCTATTCTCCCACTGACTGCAGCTCAGATGATGTCAAAGATGAGTTTTACAGAAAGCTCTCCGACCTTCTCCTAAAAGCTAGGCGCTCTGATGTAGTAATAGTGGCCGGTGACTTTAATGCTCAAGTAGGTAAACTAAGAGAAAGGGAAAGACACATGGGTGGATCTTATGGTGTCGCGGCTCAATGAACAGATAATGACGACTATCTGTTGCAGCTATGCTCAGATAACCGCCTGTTCCTTGCAAATACTAACTTTAAGCATAAGGAAAAACATCTTTTAACATGGCGACCCCCTAATTCGTCCCAACGTTGGACCCAAATAGATCACATCGCTATCAGCCACCGATGGAGGGGCTCGATAGAAGACTGTCGCTCATTCTGGAGCACATGCTTGGATTCAGATCATGCTCTAGTGCGAGCGCGTATTTGCTTACGTCTTACTGGACGTAGGAAAGACGCTGCAAGGAAACCTCTTAGGGGCCTACTTAATGATAGTCAAGCTAAGAGTATATTTCAGGAACAACTAGGAAAACAGTTAGGCAGACATGTATGTGATGCCCACCCCGATGCAGCATGGAATGATATCCGAAAAGCTGTGGTGGCGGCGGTAAGTAATAGCAGACAATTGTTCAGACTCGTTAAGGAAACCGGTATTAGGAACCCGATCGTTAGCGAAACAATCTCAGAGAAAGATGGACATCTTATACATTCTCAATCCAGGAGATCGGATCGATGGGCAGAACACTTTAGGGATCAGTTCAACTGGCCTTCAGCCATACTTTGGTTTCCCACGATCTCTAGTCAACCTGAATGGCAAGTTAATGTAAGTCCTCCGTCCCTTTACGAAGTTGAAAAAGCCATAGGAAATCTGAAACGAGGGAGAGCACCAGGCCCTGACAGGTTTACTCCTGAGATTTTTAAAGATGGTGGTCCAGTATTAGCAATGAGATTAACCGAGGTCTTAGGTAGAATTTGGGAACTGGACGTAATCCCATCTGACTGGTCTCAATCACTGATTGTGCCAGTCTATAAGAAAGGACAAAAGTCCTCTTGCGACAATCACAGAGGAATCAGTTTGACTAATATAGTGTCTAAAATATTAGCCTCAATAATGCTTCAACGCCTAATCAAAGCTCGTGAAGAGCAGATTAGAGAAAACCAGGCCGGTTTTCGACCTGGGCGTGGTTGTATAGATCAGACATTCACACTACGTCAGGTTCTAGAACACAGACACACATTCAGACGCCCCACAATGGTAGTATTTCTCGACCTTAAGGCGGCATTTGACTCTGTTGATCGTGAGGTTCTATGGCAGTGTTTGTCACTGAAAGGAGTACCAAAGAAGTACATTAACCTTACAAAGGCTCTCTACTCGAACACAACTGGTAGAGTGAGAGCTTATGGCGAACTGTCATCAGAATTGATTACCTCAATTGGTGTTCGTCAGGGCTGTCCACTCTCCCCATTCTTGTTCAACTTTGTGGTCGACGTACTTTTAGAGATAACGCTCTCCTCATCTAAATTTCCAGGGGTTGAACTTCTACCAGGAGGTTCACTTGTTGACTTAGAATATGCCGATGACAGTTCTGTTTGGTGAAGACGCTGACAAAATGCAGAGTCTTCTAACCACTCTAAGCAACAATGCAAGCATGTTCGGGATGCGATTCTCTCCCTCGAAATGCAAAATGTTGCTTCAGGATTGGGTTACATTGACACCCGAACTAATGATAGGGAGTGAAGTAGTTGAGTGTGTCGACCGCTTCACTTATCTTGGAAGTCTCATCAGCCCTTGTAGTCTGGTGTGTGACGAAATCTCAGCACGGATACAAAAGGCTCGACTAGCTTTTGCCAACTTGCGTCATTTATGGCGTAGGCGAGAGATCCGTCTATCAACCAAAGGACGTGTTTACTACGCAGCAGTTCGTCCCGTCCTACGTTATGGCAGTGAAACATGGCCGGTAGGAGTAGAGGATATTCGTAGGTTACTAGTATTCGATCATAGGTGTCTTCGAAACATTGCTCGTATATCCTGGGACCATCGAGTAAGTAACGCAGTTGTTAGGAAACGGGTATTAGGTAAGGATGGCAAATCAATTGATGAAGTAGTGAAACGTCATCAGTTGTGATGGCTGGGACATGTGTTACTTATGCCCAACCACCGACTGCCTCGACGTGCTATGTTCAGTGGTATAGGAGTAGGTTGGAAGAAAGCTAGAGGCGGCCAAACCAAAACATGGCACAAGTCCATGAAGTCACTGACAAGTAGACTGAGTTATGTTGGTAGGTGTAGACTACCTGGTTGGGGACCACGAGATGATAGCCACCGATGGTTAGAGACGTTGAATGACATAGCTCAAAATCGTTTGCAATGGTGCAGGTGCATCCACTCCTTGTGTTCTCCCAAATTCTAATCTTGTGAATTCTTCATGTCTTGTTTTCTCTTCCCAAATTTATTTCACTGGATTATACTCTTTAAATAACATCTATAAACCCTAATTTTCCCGATTACTGCTTATACTCTTGCTACCTCTATCACTACGGGATTTGAATCGACCACTGCATCTGTGTGCTAATGTGGTATGGCAACTCGAACTGATGTACGTACGTACGAGGTTCTGTGTTGTTACTGACTGATGCCCTTCTTCACTTGCTTGTTTACTTTTGTGTATTCGGTCTGTGCCTTGACTCTTTCTGTTCTTGTTCGGCTGTTGTTATTTGCTGTCTTCTTGTTCTTCCTTTCCCAGTTCTTCTCCATAGTAGTTTCTTCCAGTAGATCCTGTAAGGCTTGGCAGCTGTTGTTGAGAGTTATCCTGAATTCGTTGAGTTTGTCAGTATATCGAAGAAAGACTGTACTGAACCCTTGTAATGCTGTTTCCCCAGCTGTCCATTGCTTCTTTAGCTTCAGTTTTATTGTAGCAGCCACGATCAGGTGGTGATCTAAAGCTATGTCAGCTCCTCTCCTGGTTATCACGTTTCCCATTGACCTTCTGAAACTTTTATTGATGCAAAGATGATCGACCTGATTCTCTGTAGTG